TGGCAAGTATGTCAGGGGATGGAGGTTGGAACCAACCGGGGAAGGAACCAACGGAGTTGAGGAAGATGGAAGTGAGAGATTTGCGGCACGTGGCGGTCGCGCGAAGGGCCGCGAAAAAAAAAAAAAAAAAAAAAAAAAAGCGGAGCGTTCAAAGCGGGAAAGGGTGGTGGTCCATGTGGTAGTATTTGATAGGTTTTTCTCAACAAAGATTCCGAGAATTCGTTCATTTTCATTTGGAGCTCGGATGGGAATTTGCCCTGTGTCGGTAATGAGACATTCTGGGATGTTGAAGGGGATGATGGAGCATTTATTCCTATTTGGGCATTCGCCAGAGACTCACGCAAAGAGCATGAGGTAAATAATGGCAGTTTCGAGTTCTTTGTCTGGCGTAAGAAAGATGGTAACATCATCTGCATAGCAAGCCATGAGACGTTTGTTTATGGGCGATAGGGGAAAGCCAGGGAGGTATAGAGACATGTAGCAATGCAGAATCTCGATGGCGCAGACGAACAGGAGAGGGGCAAGTAGGTATCTTTGCCGAACGCCACTACGTACAGGAAAAGGGGCGCCGTCCATATTGTTCACGGAGATACAAGTAGAAGTGTTAGTATGCATGAGACGAATCCACTCGATAAACTTTTCCGGGACACAGAGATGGGAGAGGGCCTGAAATAAGAAGGGCCGATCCAACAGGCGTAAGCTTTATGGAAATCCACCGTCAAGGCAAGAAGGAGAATATGATGGAAGGTAGTCCAGTCCATGATGTCTAAGGTATCATTAATCATGTCACCTATCTTTCGGTGTTTGATGAAGGCTATTGGAGAAGGATGTACCTTTAGAGGAAGAAGTCGTTGGAGGCGGTTAGCCAAGCAGATGGCTAGTACCTTGTAACTCGCGTTCATGAGGGTGATAGGGCTGAGATTGTCTATTAGGGATGCGTCACCCTTTGTGGGGATGACCACCGTGCGTCCGGAAAGCATAGAGGGGGGCAGAGAAGGGGGGAAGGAATGCGAGGCCAAGAGGGACGAGAATGCCGGGACAAAGAGAGGTTTGTAGAGGCGGAATAGCTCTCCATGAAGTTCATCCGGGCCTGGGGTCTTCCCACGCGAGAGCTGACTTATGGCTTTTCCTATATGAAGCAAGGAGAGAGGGGCTGCTAGCACAGAGGTGATGGAGGGGGGGGTGGGAGGAGCGAGGGATGTGTTGCCAAAAGCTGGGGTTTGGGACGGCGGAATGCCACTGTAGAGGGATCGGAAGAAGTTGGAACACACAGTGGTCGTGGTATGTGAGATCTTTAATGCTTTGACCATCGGGAAGGTTGATGCAAGAGATGAGAGAAGATTTAACGCGTGAGTTAATCCCTGCAAGAAGTGAGGATATCCCCATTTCGCGATGGCTTAGCTTTGAGGGCGAGTTCGACAGCTTTAGCTGCTGTGTGTTTAGCGAGCTGTTGCTGGGCTTTGCAGAGCCGAGCGGCTGACTCAGAGTCCAATGGGGAGACGACATATTGTAGTTGGTGATGGTGAATGAGATGGTGAAGGTGCTCTAGAGTTTTGTGTCCACGACGCCTTTCTTGGTTGGAGAATCTTTTCAAGCGCATCGTAAGTGCACGTTTCTATTCGTCCCAATCTTCTGGTGACGGAGAGGGGGGCAGCTCGGGGATGAGATCATCCAGGACTCTGGTTATGAAAGGACGGGAAATGAGGGACGGGCTAAGTCTCCATGGACGTGGAGCTTTGGACAGGAGCTCGAAAGCTAGGGAGCAATGTGGTGCATAGGAATGGTCAGATATGATGGGGGGGATGAGGAGGTAGGGGGAGGCTGCGAGTCGGTTTTGGAGGGAAGTGGAGATGTACATACGGTCTAGTCGGGAGGCGGGTGGTGGCGCTGCAAGTAGAGGGTCTGCAGGTGGGGGTAAAGCTGGTTGGGGGAGTGCGGGCGCAGGGATAACACGCGGAGGGCCCACAAGGAGGGGTAAGGCGGGTCGGGGTACTACAAGAGGGAGGGGCAGGGGTCGTGAGGTAGTGCGAGGACGGCCGAAGTAAGAAAAACGATGCCGTTGGGGTGGAGAGCCCGGAAAACTTCAACGAGCGAGTGTTCGGACAGCAGAGCTGCGATGGCGGCGACTTCACTTCGTTCATGACCATGCAGTGGGCGATTGCAATCAGAAGGGAGGACAACCGAGTTGAAGTCTTCCAAAAGTAGGGTTGCAGACACTGCTGATGGAGCTTCCAGTGCTCCATTAGTGGGCAAGGCACGAGCACCACCATGGGCGTCTATCATTGGCTTGAGGCAGGGCGTATAAAGCGATGAGCCTTATTTGTTCGTAATGGAAGAAACTTCGACGGATAATAGACATCAATCTGTTGATGTTGTGTAAGAGGTACGAGAGATGGACTTATTGAAAAAGAGGATAGAGATCCCTCCCTGGGAGGGGCGTGAACCAGAAGAATGGGTGTTACTCTGGCGGGATACGGTGTGAGCAGGATGCCGGTGAAAA